GTCTCTGGTCTTGGTAACGGTTCCAATAGAACTTCTTTCGGTTCTTCTAATAATAGTTCCGGATTCACGCTCTCCTTTACTGTAACTGCCAAAAGAAATTGGTCTAGCCATATTTTGAAATTCCAAGGAGGGTCGGAATTCGCGGTCGTCCGAAATACAGGGATCCCCATATCTGTTCTATTGTCCTGGGACAGAAATCCTGCTGACTGCGCCATGTGATATTGCTATGCTACGAGTAGGTAAGAGCAAAAGAGAATAATTTAAAACCTTTAATTCTGTCTTGTTGAATTGCTTAGTTTTGTTAGAGATCACGTTCATGTGTCTTCAATGATCGCAACCGTCCAAATGACTGTTACGTTTGGCCTGCATGGATGGCCTTGAATAATACTAACAATACATAACAGAATATTAATAACACTTTATCCAAGGTTACTGTGGCAACAGTACTACTTGGTACCACATACATGTACACCGTTTGTCCATTTCTTATTGTGCACCAGACGTGCTTGTTAAACGAGGATGGAAAATGCCAGACATTCACAACAGTACCTTGTTTCCGCATGTTTCACAGCTGAGCAGACATGAACCAGATTTTCGGTAATCAAGTTTAGTTCACTGCTAAAATTGCTTAGACACATGTTTGCAAGTTTACAGTCCCTCATAGTTTGTTCTCTTACTAAATACGGCAATGATTAGTTTCGACCAATTCCAAGTATATTGCAGAGATGAAGTGGTTCTCAATTGTCCCCTCATTTACCAACAGAATGAAGTTGAATGAAGTTCAAAAATAGGTCCCAGAAAAAAATTACCTTTCGATTATTATAAATTGCTCTTTGATTTGTTGAGGGCGTTATTTTGGTTTCTTTTTAAATTTTTTTCTCGTTAAATTGTTATTAGTTTGTTGTTGTTTTTTCAGATAACTTTTTTGGTTATCTGCATTTTTTTTCAAAGATGAATCCACAGACTACTGAGCATTTAGAAGGACCACTTTTGTGCGCTGGCAAACGTTCGAAAGCAGGCGAAATTTTTAAACCAGGCTATAAAAAGCGTTTTTTTTAAAACTTTTTGGAAAAATTTGACCAAAGAAGCGGGTTTTTCTTAGTGTCCCCCTCCCCAAAATTAGTGTATATTGGCGCTGAAGGCCAAGTATGGATTTTGCCACTAATCGCTAAAGGCAAGCGAACGCCGCAGGAACTTATGTAAACTGTGTAGCAATTTTTTTCTAGTCTGCGGCGATTTAGTTCGTCTATAGCTTTGGTTTTTTTGTATTAGAGGCATAATTCTTCTAATGCTTATTTGGTTATCAAGCCATTGGCAACTTCATGTCTCAAAATTGCATTATTGAAATTTTTGCGACGCATTTGATACGTAATGTTTTCTGAGAATTTTCTCTACCAATGCAATTTGTTCAACCTTGGTTCCCTTGGAGACAATTAGCTATGGTCTATAATTGCGGGAGCTCTTTTCTGAGAGTCTCTATCAGGCTTTGAAGTTCTACGGGCATCGTTATTAGTCCGTAAAAACATTTCTTAAAACGGTCTGTCCCCGGTGAACTTCCCCCAATAAATGAAAAATTGCATTGTTTGCTTCTTTCCAGTTTTAGAGCTACTTGTCCATACGCGTACGTAAAATCTAGCGTTGTAAAATAGACTTAACCAAATTTCTTTTCTGCGATTATTCGGCTTATTCCGTCTACTAACTCATCGATATTAAGCATTTGGCACTTGGTTTTGTGTACTTGATTATTCAATTGTCTTCACTATAGTGCCAATTTTATACTCTCTTCCTTTTTTACTGTAATTACTATTGGGGACAGAAAATGCTTCATCGAACACTCTTCGAGTTTTACGATATTTCGCTCCTCGATTGGACGCGTGATTTCCTCATCTATTTTATCCTGTAGACTAATTGGCATCCTCCGCCCTTTTCTTTCACGGGTTTTGGTATGTCAAAGAAATCTCCCCGCACCCACGCGCCCTACTCTGCAAACTAATTTTTGGAACAACTTTCTGAAAAACGACTGCCACGACTTTCACTCGTCCAGTTCATGTTCCTCCTCGGCACTTATGTTTCCCTCTGCCACTGTCATCATTCGGTTACTCGGTTACTCATTAGGAGAACCCTTAGTTTTGCACAATTTGAAAGGGAATCTCTTTAACGCAAAATATTGCGGTACAATACTAAATGTGCTCTTGTAAATTGATTTCTATACATTTAATTACCGGTAAAATTTCGATATGAATCGATTTCAATATCAGGTTTGTTAGTGCGGGAGGGGAGAGGGACATTTTTTTTGTTTGGCAATTACCATGGTTGAGCGGTATGTTCATAACCAGCTCTCACAGGGGGGAGGGGGGTTGGCTATCGAAAAGGCTGACAAAAAGGCTGACAAAAAGGCAATGAGGAATACAAATTATATACGGGAAAATTTAAAAAAAAGTCAGTAAAATTTGAGAAACTAACAAAAGAAAAAGAAAAAATCTTGAAGGGAAAAATTTGAAGCAAGGTTTTAATGAGAGTCGCATCTGGGAACTTTTTTGATAAAATGAGCGTTGAAAAAAAATATCGGCCAATTTGTGAAACAAAAACTACACTGTTATGAAACTTTCAGACATTTTTCTAAAAAGAAATCACAATCCATTGCAATCGATTGCAATCATTTAAAATAGATTTCATTGATTTGTCAAAAGGAATACTTTAATCCATTTTTAATCGACTTCAGTCCAATTTGAAGAGACTGAAAATGAGCACGTAACATAATCGACTGTTATTCAAGAATTTTCGCTGCGGGTCGCCACTCGTTATGAGAAAACTAGACATTTTCCGAGCAATAAAAATATCCAAAACTTAGAAGTTTCAAGGCTCAAAAATTACTGAAGAAAATGGCGAAAACCTTTTTGTTTTTGGGTGCAGGGTGTCCAATTCTTTTAGATTATACAAAAAATTAACACAAGGTCAGATCTAGGATTTTCTCGAGGGGCGGATATTCAAAAATAATTCAAAACTTTTGTGGACCTTTTTTTAGGTAGACCAAATTGATTTTCCAAGCTCTCCCAGAGCACTAAAACACTGCAAAGACCCTGTATTGGCCAAAATTTTGGGCCGAAGGCAAAATATTGAAAAAACAGGACAAAAGAGGCGTTTTTTGGACTTTTTTCGAAAATGTTGACAAAAAATCGCGTTTTTTTTCGCGCGCTCCCCCCTCAAAGTTAGTATATATTGCCGCCAAAAACGACTTTAGAAAAGATTTTAGGGTCCATTACCAAAAATGGATATCTCAAAATAGTACAAAGGGGGGACAGTGAAAGAAAAACTGCTATTGGTTTGGATAAAAAATCAGTGGAAACAAAACTATTTAGCGAACACATCATGTTCTGAATTTTTCAACTCTTATGTACTTTTCACAATAATTGTGTCTAATTAACTAAACGGCAATTCAACCTTTTTTCGCATATCTACGCCCCTTTTCCATCTCCGTTTGCATACCTAACCTATAAGCTTAGCTACGGTGGCCTACCCGTACGTATGCAGTTCCTTACGTAGGTTTTCCAATGAACCATAACGTACACTTGTTGAGTGTTATTTCGGGTCGAGGTCGTGATTTTATGTTCAGACTTAATTAGTCTGAGTCGAACCGCGTGGGTACCAAAAATTCATAGTCGCCACGCAGGTCAAAGTCTGCAAAGTCTAAACATAAGTCTGCAAAGTCTGAACATGAGTTTCCAAAGTCTGAACATAAGTCTTCAAAGTCTGAACATAAGTCTGCAAAGTCTGAACATAAGTCTGCAGTGTCTAAACATAAATCTGCAAAATCTGAACATAAGTCTGCAAAGTCTGAACATAAGTATGCAAATTCCTAACATACGTCTGCAAAGTTTGAACATAAGTCTGCAAAGTCTGAACATGAGTCTGCAAAGTCTGAACATAAGTCTTCAAAGTGTGAACATAAGTCTGCAAAGTCTGAACATAAGTCTGCAATGTCTGAACATAAGTATGCAAAGTCTGAACATACGTCTGCAAAGTCTGAACATAAGTATGCAAATTCCTAACATACGTCTGCAAAGTTTGAACATAAGTCTGCAAAGTCTGAACATGAGTCTGCAAAGTCTGAACATAAGTCTTCAAAGTCTGAACATAAGTCTGCAAAGTCTGAACATAAGTCTGCAATGTCTGAACATAAGTATGCAAAATCTGAACATACGTCTGCAAAGTCTGAACATAAGTCTGCAAAGTCCAAACATAAGTCTGCAAAGTCTGAACATAAATTCTGCAAAGTCTGATTCGATCCGCGTGGGGACCGAAAATTCATTATCGCTCTACAGGTCAACGTTTGCAAAGTCTAAACATCGGTCTTCAAAATCTGAACATAAGTCTGCAAAGTCTGAAAATAAGTCTGCAAAGTCTGAACATAGTCTGCATAGTCTGAAATTTAGTCTGAACATAGGTGTGCATATCCCGGGTTGACAAAAAATGCTTATCATACAATTTTCTTATATGGAAACCCTATGACAACCAATTTTTCCACAGAACCCATTCATGGAATTGTCTGATAATCATTTTTTTTCTGTATAGAAATGAATGACAAGCGTTTGTTTGTATAGAGGTCAACCCGGGTAGTTCTGTCGGTCCACATGGTCTGAAACCGGATTCCCTCGGTCCACACGGTCTGAAACTGGATTTTTTTGGTTGACACAGTCTGAATCCGGATTTATTGGGTCCACATGGTCTGAAAGCGGATTCAATCAGTCCACATGTTCTGATCATAGTATTTTCTGGTACACACGGTCTGAACATAAAACCACGACCTCGACCCGGGTAGCCTTCCGTCCGATCTTTGAGTTATAATACGCGAACAGGAAACTTGCTGAAAACAGTAAATCGCATTAAAGAATGCACCCATACCGATTCATGAAGAGATAACTACTTTTTAAATTGATTTAAGTGATCATGACAAAGATATAAGACGAGCGATAAGGTTATTGCTTGCTTCGCTGTTTCAGAGATGCCCCGTTTCGTGCGCAGACTTCCGAGTGTGGTGGAGGTCTTGAGGGGGGAGAGTGTCTCCATAGCATGCATGGCCACAGGACTGCCCTCCCCCTCGTACAAGTGGAAGATGACACAAAGCTATGACCACATTCCACCAGGTAAACCCACGCAAGCACGCACGAATGCACACACACATGCAAACACGCACATAACACAGACCTTACAATGCACCCACACACCATGATACACACCAGATACATCAACCACATCACGCACATCATTCACACCACAAACACTACATAAACCAAAACCACCCACCATAAACGCCACACACACCACACTTTTATACACGCCATACACATCACGCGCCATGCACAAAACACAAACCTTACACACCATACTCACCATACACAACATACACACCACATCCACCATACATTCCATATACACCACACACAACATGCACATCATACACACAAGACACACCACCCGCACCGGAGTTACATGGATAATAATCGATTATAATGGAAAAATGTTCTCTAAAATGTTGTCATTATAATGCATTATTGTGGCAAATTTAGACCACGAAATCGATCATATTGGCAATATAATCGATTGTTTTCGTAAAAACACAATCTAATAAAATCCATTATATTGGATTATAATCCATTTAAAATCCATTATAATAGATTATAATCCATTTAAAATCCATTATAATAGATTATAATCCATTTAAAATCCATTGTAACTGATTATAACGGATTATAATCTATACATTTATTTGCAAAATACAATCATTTGCAAAACTTGCAACATTTCTGCGTTACTCTCGGCCTACTCGCAATCTAAACCTAATCGAATTAACCCCCTCCCCTATTTGCCCCCATCCACGTTTGCCCAAACACCCTCCCCCGCTCCCCTACGTTTATCCCTACGCCCACCCCCATGTTTGCTAAAGTTTACCCCTCACCCCAAGTTACAGTCCACCCCCCCCTCCCCCCCCCCCCCAGTTTGCTTACCATTTTCGACCGAGACGTGTAAGCAGAGAGGAAAACGGGGGGGGGGGGGGGGTAAACAGGGAGGGGTAAACGAGCTATATAAGACAAAAATTATAAAAGTTGAAAAGTGAAATGTAACAATTTATGAAACCTAATAAAGCAAATGCACTAAACAGGAAATGCGATAACTTTAAAAAAACTTGTAAATTTGATGACTAACCTCTCAAAAAAATCCGAATAATTGACAATAACCGATTATAAGCGATTATGTTGGCATGAAAATATACAAAAAATAATCCATTTTTAATGGATTATAATCTATTTTCATCAAAATTTATTGAGACAGACCAAGAAAATTCAATATTATTGATTGTTATCTATGGAATATGGAAATCCAGTGCGGGCAAGCACACCGCACACACCATACTCATCACACATATCACACACACCACACACCTTACACAGAACACACACACCACATGCATCACACACAATAAAAAGACACCACATACACCATACAAGCCCTGCACACCGCACAAACCACACAAACCAAACACCACACACCAAACACATATCACAGATCATACACACCACACACACACAACATACACACCATACACCACACATACATCATACACGTCACACGCCATACAAACCCTACACCATACACCCCACACAAAACACACACCACACACTCCACGCACATCAAACACACAAAGCACATTATGAATGCCAAACACACCATGCACACAATGCACTCCATACATTCCATACTCACAACCCACATCACACACGCAACATACCCACACCACACAAACCCTACGCATCTACTACACCATACACGCCATTCATAGAATAATTACAATATAAATTACAAACACCACACACCACAATCACACCATACATACAAAACACACTATAAATGCCATACACAAAATGCACACCATGAACACGGCACACAACGCACGCACCACACTCACCACATACCAGACACACCACTCATATTACACTCGCCATGCAAACCACATATGCCATACACGTCACACACACCAAACACGCCATACACTCCACACAAACCATACACAACAACACACATACCACACACGCAGCACACACAGCATACACAGCAAACACACCACACACCACACAATCCACTCGTATGACACACATATTACTAACCACACACTAATTCATACACACCCCACACTTAGTACACGCCATACACACCAAACACCATACTCACCACAAACAACACACCATAAAAGTCATAAAAACCACGCAAAACACACACCATGTGAACCTTAAACAACAAACACATCAAAAACACCATACACACAACTCACATGAAAGGCACCATACAAACCGCACATACTTTTCACGCCATACAAACCATACATACGACACACACACTATACACGCCACACGCACCATGCAAACCACACCCACAACGCGCACCACACATACCATTCACATATTACACTTCAGAAACAGCACACATCACAATCACAAATACTGCACACACCAAACACACGACATACAAAAACAAACATGTCCCACAGACCATACGCGCCAAACTTACCAAACAAACCGCACACGCCACATACATCACTGACATCAAACAGGCCCTACACATCACAAACAAATTACACACCATATACATTTTAACCACCAAACGCAGGAATTACACCATACACACCATCCACATCAGAAACACCACGCTCAATACACAAACACTGCGCACAACACACATCATAAACACAACACATCATATACACCACACATCTCACAGAGCATACACACCACATACACCATACACAACCATATATCAAGCAAGCACACACAACGGTAGTTTATGTTGGGGCTGAATAGGGTGGGGATTGGTACCCCCAATGTATTCACATAGGCTATAGGGTATCCGGTCATCACCCTAGGTACTAACATAGGGAATATATTTCCCATGTAATTATATTAGGGTTTTAGGTTTCAGGGTTTCAGATACTGATGATAAGTTTCGAGAAAAAAAATGGCAGCCGATTTCGACGATACCGCAATGTTCAAGATCCCAAACGGGAATATTTAAAAGCCTATGTAATAAGCTAGGAAATAGATTTCTCAATTTTCCATTTAAAGTTTTGGTTGGTAAGTTTCAGATGGGAATTTTTTTTTTGCAAGTTTTGGAAAAAAACCTCAATTTTTTGGAATTTTTTTCAGAAACCAGAAATTTTTGGCTTATAGTACGTGAAAAGCGTCAAAACCCAAATTGTTGGTTAACTGGTATCATGTTAAGACAATCATACAAATTTCAATTATACAAATTTCAATTTCAAGTTTTTTCTTCGTTTTTTTTCGTAAAAAACGAAAGACGAAAATTTTTCATTTAACTTAAGCTAAGATGTGTTTTAAATTTTGTTCTGAATAGCAGAAACAATGCTCAGATTAGTTGAATCTATGCTGAAAATTCCGAATTCTCGAGAGAATCCTATAAAAAATCATAACTTTTGAAGAAGTGAATCAAAGTGTTTCATATTAGACTCATTATCTATCCAGCTTTGTCCAATTTACATCTTTTGTATGAACACTTAACTACTTTTTTTAAATTCCATCAAAAAAATATATTTTTTAAAATCTTAAATCAAATCATCGATCATAGTAATCTTCTTCGAAATTTCTTGAGCAAAACTCATCATTCAACTCTTCCTCGGTTTTTTTAAATGATGAATTCAAGTTTATACCATCTTACCATCTTACCATCTGAAACTTTGAAACATATAACCTGATTTCATGGGATTTTTCCTTATGTTAATACATGGTGGTCATCAAACTCTTCCCCACCGGATTCAGTCCCAACATATACAACTCACACCATACACGCCATTCACACACTTAGTATATGCCTGGTAGAATCGTGGGTAACAATGGAGACCCCCCTTATTTAAGATAAGGTATAGATTATCCGATGACAACCTTTAAGTTTCAGATGATAAATATTTTCAGCACAATTCTCAATTTTAGAAACTTACCATCATACCATCTGATACACTGAAACCTAAAACTTTAGTACATGGAAAACCTACTCCCTATGTTAATACCTAGGGCGATGACCGGTTACTCTGTAGCCTATGTTATTACATGGGGATTAACATTCCCCACCCAATTCAGTCCCAACATATACTACTCATACTATACACGCCATTCACATATTTATTATTAGTCTGGTAGAAATTGTGGGTACCAATGGAGACTTCCATGTTTTAAGATAGGGTATTGATTACCCAGTGTCAAACCTTTGTAATAAGATAGAGCTTAGATTTCCGTTAATTAAGATAGTTTAAAAGAGTTTCGGGTAGTAGGTGTTAGATGATAAGTATTTTCAGCGGAATTCTCAAAATTTTGGAAAAAAAATTTCAGGGGTCTCAAAACTTTGGCTGCGAAAATTTTTTTCGCTTTAGATATTATCATTTTAGATTTTGTTTTTGACGATTTGTTTTAGATTTTAGCTAAATTTTAGATATTTCGTTTCATATCAAATTGTGAAGTATCAATGCTTTTTTCGGGTACAGTGTAAAATGAAACCCAAACTGTTTTTCAATTGGTATCAAGTTAAGATATTGACGCAAAGCTTTGAGTAAATCTTTTTTTTCTTTCTTTTTTTCGGCATAAATGGAACATTATAAAATTTGACTTAATTTAAGCTAAGATGTGTGTTATAAATTGCTCTGAATACCAAAAACAAAGCTCAGATCAGTTGAATTTATGCTGAAACTTTCACATCGGGAGAACTGTGAAAAACAGCCAGTGTTTTCAATCAAGTTAAATACAAAGTTATCAATATTAGACTAAGCATCAATCCAAAATCTTCCATTTTAGACATTTAATTTGATTACTTATTCGGTTTGCCATCCATATAAAAACAAGTTATGTTAGGAACTTGAATCAAATGATCAGCAAATGTAATATTCAGCGAAATTACTCTGGCAAAACTCTTCCTCTTTTTGTTTGTCAATGGTCAAACCAAATCTACAAAACTGCAAAATCTGAGATCAATTACATCTTGATTATACATCATTTACAATCATATTTGTTAAATGGTTTTTTTACTGCTAAAATAACTGTCATGTTAAAATACTGTCATGCTGAAATACTGCTAAAATAACTGTCAT